TGTAGGCGCTATGTCCTGCGCAGAGGAGCAAAAACAGGTAAAAAGCTTTTTCTGTGGTGCAGGTTGGCCCCAGCAGTTGGATTCATGTAATTGGAGGATATCTGCAGCGCTTTGCACTTGGGACGGCTGCTCAAGGGACCCTCGTTCCTGCAGAAGGATGGCTGCAAAGAAAAAGGAGGTGCTTCTGCAGGTCAGTAGGAGCCAGGCTTTTAAAACACCTTTTAAACTCGTTGGAAGCGCAAAGGGTGAGCTTCAGTCTCGAGGTATCTCAGATTCCACTGGCGAAGCCCTTCTGTGAGGTCCTTGGGGTGGGAAAGCATTCCTGAAGGCAGGTGGGAAGGATGGCGGGTGAAATCTGTCCCCCGAAGTCGGTGCCGTGGGCTGCAGAGGGAGGCCGCTGCGGGGCTGCAGGTTGTGTTTGAGCTGTTAGGAGCTGGCGCGGGTTTGGCTGCTTCCATAGGTCAAAACGCATCCGTGTTTCGTGGGGCAATTGTTCAGAGGACATTTAGAAGCAGGGAACTGGGGGAGCGGGGATTTCTCCTGAACGGGAAGTGTCGCTGAACATTTCTGACCCGTTCATGTATTTAGAAAGATTGCTGTAAAGGTGGAAAAGTTAGGAGGCACAAGAAAAATTCAAAGGCTGAAAAACATATCGCACAATGATGCGTAGAGGAATTTTTCCCTATTTACACTGAGCAAGTGACGTAATGACGCTTTATAACTACCTACATAGGTGAGAGAGCATTTCTGAGAGCAGTTTAGTGTGCAAAACCATTGAAAAACCCAAAGTAGGTTATTAAGATAACTTTCAAATTTTGAAACAAGTTCAGTCTTCTCAAGAGAGAAATACTCAAGGAGATTATGGGCTCTCTAACCTTGTTTATTCACTGTTAAAATTGAAAAGCATGGATTGAAAATGTAAACATTTATATAAGAGAAAGAGGATCACTTTATTAAGGTAAAAATGGTTTCTGCTGCTACTTGTCCAACTGTGTTCCTGTGCAATGGGGAAAATTACATCAACCAGACCTTGTACCTTTGGCAACTAAGGGGAAGCTGGGTCTAGATCTGCAAAAAATGTGATTGTTCACATCTGCAGATGAAAGCTGGACTTCATGTGGGATATGATGTGATGTCCTAGAAAAGTTCTGGCTATAAGCGAAAAGCCAAGTCCCAGCAGCCTCGGGGCATCCAAATTAGCAAAGCACTTTGAAGGGTGCCGGCATTACTTTGAGTCCATCAGTTGAACTCACGGCTGAACTCATTATCACAAATTATTATCATAAATCCTTTGAACTCATTAACATGCTGTGCAACACTACGAGGGTGGTCCTAGAACTCGTGAT